CCTTTGACCTGATGGATGGTTGAGAAGAATAACAAACTCCTATAGCCACAAAGATTCCAGTAGAAAGTAGCACAAGCTTTAATGATGCTACACATCTTAGCTATAAACCTTCCTTAACCCTGCTCACTCAGTAGTTCTGTGGGTTCAATCTAGCCTCAACTATCACAACAGTGACCTCTCACTGCCCCACTTGCCAGACCAGCAGTCCCCAAGGGCCGCATAGAAGTCACCTTGCTCAGACTGCTCAACACAAAGGATCTTATGCTGGGGAAGACCGTCAGGTGGATTGTCCTCAAGTACCAGCCATCCATGGGTTCAAATATCTTCTAGTGTTCATAGACACCTTTACCTCGGTTGAAGCAAATTCCACAAGCACAGAGAAGGCTCACAAAGTAATTGAAAGTTTGCTTCAGGAAAAAATTCCTCAATTTGGGCTTTCCAAAACATTACAAAGTGATAATGGGCCTGCTTTCATTTCTCCAATCACTCAAGTAATATCCCAACCTCAGGAATAACTTACGGTGCCACTGTGCTTGGAAACTGCAATCTTCAGGGAAAGTAGAGGAAATTCACTAACACTTAAAACTAACCCTCAGGAAATTGACAAAAGAGACTAAGATGAGCTGGAAGAATGCACCGTCAGTAGTTCTGTTGCATATCAAATTTTCCCCATGGCACTCTACATGTTTAAGCGCCCTATGAAGTTTTATATGGGTGGCCTTTTCCCATAACAAAGCCCGGTGTAGATGCTGAAGTGTCCTTATGTCAAGAGGCATTCCATCACTATGGGCTTATTCAATTAAATTCATAAATGCTATACTAAGTCCTGTGTTTAAAGTAAGCTTGCTGGTCATGCCTGTCAATCCAGTGTTAAGAATACCTCCTGATATTTCCTTTGTAATCTGTGTGAAATTAACCCACACTTCAATGGGCATTGCATACCATAGCTCTAGCACTAGCCTTATCTGAACTTTTCACCTGCTTTATCTCTACCAGAAGCCATCAGATTACTAATGACAATGAGCTAAGACTCCATCCCCAGGGTCACGTGTCTGGATCACCTCAACCCCATTCACTATGGGCTCCTAAGTGGATAAAATCTCCTCCAAGAGAACAGGAAGGATATGGACCCAAAGTCCCTCTTTGTGCCCATTTGTCAGCATGAAGTAGACACAAAGATTATCAGCACTCCAGTTTCCCTCAAAGATTTGGGTCCATACTCCTGCAGAGGGGAATGATAGGTAGGAAGATTACAGAAAGAGGGGTTGTCTTCACCGAATGCCTATGCTGAACAATCATTAGCTGGCATGCCATAACAAATGTGGGTTGAGAAAACATCAGGCAAATATTAGACACCTCTGGGAGTGATCCAAACCTGGGAATGCTCACACCAAGGTCACCTAGACACAAGTGGAGGTCAACCTGGGCACACACTAGGCACCAGCAACATCTCGTCACAGGTGTGCCTGAACTTTGCCACTCAGAATGACCAATACCCTCAAAGATGCCTCCTCAAGTCGGGTCAGCAGGGATAACAAGCCGGGAACAAGGGTAGTCATTCTCTTGTTCTGCACTCTTGTTTCAGTTGTTCATTCCATGTGGTTTTATATGCTCCTCTGAGGTGGCCATCTTCAGTTGGGAACTTTCGTGGGGTCCCCTGTTTGGCCTTGTACACTTTCCATAGATAGCATGCACTATCTGAGATTATAAAACTTGAAACTTCCCTAAAAGTTACTTGGATTTACAAAAGTGCTTCCGCTTCATGAGTTCTTTCAACATTGAGAAGTAAGCACTGAGGGAAACCATGGCAGAAACCTCACAATTTCAGCATTCTCCTAAGAGTCTAAATTCAATTCAGCATAAAATCCATAAGGTATGCAAGCTAGATAGAGAGCTACTTAGATTGGTCAACAGGTAACTCCTCTTGGGTCATGTTTGACTCCTTGGAACCCTGCTCAGACAGACGGTCCTGGGTCCTGTACTGGCTTCATGATCGCTAGCACATTTGAGTTTATGAGCAAAGCCCTCGCACAGAGGAGCTTTCTTACTCACACTGACCCCTATTTTATGGAACGTGATATATGATGTTCTCTTTTAGCATTTGATCCCTCCCCATGATGTGTCCAAACAAGTGGGGTGGATGATGTTATGCTGTGACTCATAGATTTGCATTGGGTAATGTTCAGGAGCACATCATCAGTTGTTTCCTCCCAGTCTCTTTTTTTCCCTCCTAGTCTTTCTCTCTCTCTCTCTCTCATCCCCCCCACCCCCCGCCCCCACCCCAGTCTCTCTTAATCTGAGAACTCAGTAGAAAATTTCGACAGAGTGATACTGTTGGTATTTGACATACTGGTGGCATAACTTCTGGCATCACAACAACACATATTGCACCACGTTAAAAAAAATCCTGAAAAGGGAATAAAAGAATACACATCTGACAGATATCACGTCAGTGGTCCTAGATGTTAGGAGAATAGCAAAGATGACCGCAGAGCAGCACACTGGATTTGAGGGCACTGATTGAAATATTCTATATTTTTGCTGTGGTATTGTGTCAAAAATATTTACCTTGGTCTAAATTATAGAAGTGAACATCAATAAGGTTTAGCTTTTTTGTGTGCAAGTTCTACTTAAACAAATCTGGGAAAATAATTTTAAGTCAATCATATTCTGTAATAGGTGCATCTCCTATAATTAGTTATGATAGGTTTGCTGAGTTTCATTAAAGCCTTCCCAAAATTTGATAACCCAAGGTTAGAATACTTAAAAAATGAAAAGTCTTCAATCCACTAATTAAAGTAAGGTCCCTCAGTATTTTTATAGTAGAATGTGTGTGTCTGTTGTTGTTGTTGTTATTAATAATAAACCCTTGGTAGACATGATAATTCCTACTACTGAGTACAAAATTTTCATCAGAGCAGTAAGTGTTTGATTCATTCTGAAAGAATTTATAAAACTTTACCATAAATGGTGCCTTAATATGTGCAGCCAAATTATGCTGTAAAATATTTTTTTTCAAACAATGTCAGAATTTTGAAAGTAATGCTAGGTATAGAAGGTATAGGAAAAAAACAGCACTCATTGATTTAAGGACAATTTCATCCTGTACAGTTGATAAAGAACATCGCCAATCTGTTCCTGTAGATTCCCTCTCATAATGACAATGCAGAATTGCAGCCATAGGGTTTAGAACACTGCATATCTTTACTTGACTCATTAATGTAGATGTGGTTGTGATTTCACAATTCCTCTTGATATGATTGAAAGATTGAGCTATTTAATTATGTGATATGTAAATTATGTGACAAAATGTTAGGGAAAATAAAGGTGCTACATGATTGTTCCTTAGTTTTTAAAAGTAAACAAAACAAAAATAAAATAGAAAGTGGAAAAGAGAAAATATTTTAACCTCATAACCCCGAGCAAAATTTAAAATATTTAAGTGTATCATTTTCATTGTTCCTTTAATTATTAGTACAATGTATACTTCAACTTTTAATTATGTACTAAAATTGCATGGGCTAACATCTCAACTGATTGGATATAAAATGACCTCTCCTGGCATTTCTGATTGTTCAGGATAGAGGAGACTCGTGTATCTTTACTTTTGTTAATCATTCAAGTAAAATGATTCTATGTCACCATAATATATATTTTTTTATTCATAGACATCATACATATGCAGGAGACACTACTTGCTGTTTATCAAGAGCAATTGAGAAAATATAGCATTTCTTAATATTGTATTGAGTGAACCGTTTATGATTTAAATTGCATTAATTTTATATTATCAAATATACGATTAAGGTACTAGTTTTCTTAAATGATGTGCAATAATTGAACATAGAGAATAAACACCTTAAAATTACAGGTTCTTAACGTGAAAAAGCTATCAGACAACCTACATTCTATGGTGTTTTTCGTAGAATTATTCATCTCCTCATTTATGAATTTAAGGCTTACTTAAGATTATACATATTTTCGTAAAACTACCAACAGAATGGGATCACAATAAAAGGCATTTGATGCTCAGCTTCATCACCATTCAGCATACACCATAAAAATCAAAACCAAGTTTGTTACCATTTTCACTGTAGAGAGAGAAAAAGGAAGAAAAAAATGAAAAATGAATCATCAAAAGAACACATTGAACTCCCAAGAAGTGCACAAAGTGCTTGAGAATGAATTCTGAATTGAAATATGGGATGTTGCTTGTACCCCAATAGAGGTTTTGCTCTACATTTCCAGGTCACTTGGTCTTCCTTCCTTCCCAGTCATGTACATACACTGTCCACCCACTATGGAGTCACGTCATTCTTCCTCGAGGATTAGACCCGAGGCAGTTTTAGAACATGCCCAGGGAGAAAACAGTTTTAGGGGCCAACTTAGTTGTTTTTCAGAATCAGATAGCAATTTTTGGACATCATTTGCTTTTTTTGGCACCGTGAGAGTAAATGGGACAGGGGTGCAGAACCACGCATAGTGTGGCTAAACCTTGCTTTAGACTGAAAATTCCTTTAGAGTGGGAGGCAAAAAAGTAGACTGGGCAAACATGCCTTCGAATCCACTCTACGGAAGATTTGGAAAGCTGCTGTAGAAGTCAGGAGACACATCCGACCAGGTGGGGAGTCCCTGCCTAATGTGAATGGGCACCTGGTGCAGCATCACACAGCTTAGCAGTCAGTCAGGTCATTGCTGAATCATGCCAATGCTGGTTGGAATTGGCAGTACCTCTGGTTCTCATGGATATCACAGACATCCACTGAGCATCCGGACCTTCAGATTACCTCATATGGATTGATTTTCAGATTTACATTATATCTATCCTCATTATCTTGAAAAACAGATCCAATATTACTTTGAAAATAAGAAATATCACTTAAAGAAATACTTTGTTATTCCTGTAGACATTGTGTCAGGTTATCAATGGTATATGTTTACTATAATTTTGTAACTGATTCATGATTACTTTGGAAGTGTAAATATTTATTAGAGTTTTCTTACATCTTATTACTGCAGAAAACACATTTATTGCTGTAAGTCCTCCCATCTGTTGCACAGATTGGATTTAGTTCTCTGGTACAATGATGTAGATGATCTTTATATATATCACAATATGGTTCCTACATGTAGAGACAAACCAAAATTTATTAGAATGGAACTTTGAAAGAAATGTTTCTCAGTCAACATAAAATTTCATTTATCAAAACAGGATAAATATAGTCCATATACATTAAATCTGAATACCCATGTACCAATAACTCACTTAGAACACAGCACATTATTGATATCTATTCATAAGCGAGTTATTATTTACTTTAGAAGGCCATGGCATACATTCACTGAGCTATAATAAATGAGCCACCACTACCCACTGTTCTTCATAATGAGTTTACATCTTCTTTTGTCCATAATAGCAAGAAAAATATTATGAAATGGATTTTGTTTGAAAATATTTTTGGCCAAGACATTATATTTAGTTTGATTTGACACACATATCATATCATTCCACAATTCAATGACATCAAGGAGAATTATACAGTTACTACCACAATCAGTTTCCAAGTATTCTTTTTCTATGTGGGCTCCTTGACATTTCTTCCCTTTTACCCTGCCAGCAGCACTGTTCTCTCCTCTGCATGAACCCTTTATTCTACTTGCTGTTCCTATACGTTTTAGTCCTGGGTTTAATACACCGAACAATGGAAAGGCATATAACATACCTTGAAGAGGGTGACCTCCATTGTCTTTCTTAATGATCCCAGGACACATATAGATATAGACAGATATGTATAAAGTTCTTTGGTGATATAAACATTTTGTGCATGATAACTCATAGACAAAGGCTAATGATCTATTTTCATACAGAATGTAGCTCAGGAAATTCAAAATTCTGTAACACATGGAATCTACTCCACCAAAAGATGTGGTGTGTGTGTGTGTGTGTGTGTGTGTGTGTGTGTGTGTTTATGGGTTTCCTAGTCCGTGGAGGGATTCTATTATCTTTTCATTCAAATTTTCCAGAATTATTTGGAGTGCCTTCATGGGTTTATGTGTTTGTGTGATGTTTCTTCATGTCTATGTAATCATATATATTTATAAACATATATACAGTGAACCCTCGCCAATTCGCGCTTTGACTTCCGCGGCTTCACTCTATCATTGTTTTTGTGTAACAGCGCATGCTCTGTCATTACTGCCACTGATTGGCTCATACTGTACACACTTGATGCCATAAATAATATAAAAAATAATAAATGATAATTGTAATGTCCAAAATGTTTTACTGTATTTTCCCTTTTTCGTTTAATAAATTGGGTAATACGAGTGTAATGGTGACTAAAGGGTGTTTTTTTATGTTCTCTATGCTCTAACTACGAAAATATTTGATTTACAAATAAGGAATCCTACTTCACGGAATTTCATTTATCAAGGTAGGGTCTAGAACCGATTAACCGCGATAAACGAGGGTTCACTGTACCTCTTCTTTTATAATGTTGAGAGATTTAAAAGTCCTTGGAACCTGTATCTCTTCGTATGCTTAAAATTATAATTATTTCCCTCTTTTCTATTTTTAAATTATACATCATGTACCACTGTGTGAAAATTTGAAAATTACAATCATTTTATCAAACTTTAAGTGCATATTTGCTGCTAAAATTTACAACACACAAAATTAAAAAGTTTAACTTTTTCAAATTCTTAATGAATTATTATGGACTTACTTGTGGCAAGTCTCGTGGTTTATAGGCACTATCTACAATCAAATGACAAATATAGAAGTTAAAAATCAGAGAGATTTTTTTAAAAGGCATTGTTTTAGATCGTATGTGTCCATATCACATATTAACATAAACCATCTGTCAATGGCTTACTGAAGACCCTGCAAAATCTAGAAACATTGATCATTACTAAATTAATCTTCCTGTAAAAAGTAATTTTATACATTTTAATAATCCCCAATGCTGTATTTAAATATAACACTGCTTCACTTAATATTTTAAGATAAGACACCCTGATCAGAGAAGACAATGATTTGCATTGCCAACTCATATAAAGAAACAAATTACCACTGAGTTAATTCATACTCTGCTCTAATTATGTGACTATCCCAACCCTCAGGGTCCATGAGTGGTAAAAAAATGCTTCACTTTTAACACTAATCTAATTTATGCTCTGACCGAGTCAAGTAGTGGCATGGGGTGGGGAAAGCGGGTAGGTGGTGGAAGCTGACAGTCTACTTCGGTAAACATTACAGCCAGGGAAACTTACTCTGTGATGCATGAGGGAGCCTTGCAAGGGAACTGACCAAAGAACAACAAGTTTACTTTTATTCAATATCAGACAACTCTAAATTCTGAAATCCATGAAGCATTTTCAGATTTAAGAATAACAATGCTAACCTCAAAGGTACCCATGAATCCTATCCTTAAATCAAACCTTAACTTTAGAAGACATAGAGATGACAAGTGCGATTGTCAAGAAATAGTAGTTTGGGAAGTGATCATTCCTGCTCATACTTAGCATTTATTAACCATGGCATCTGACCTCCAAAGAGGCCAAAACGTAATCTAGGTAGCACTCTTCATGTAGATGAAGATCGAGCCATGATCTACTGCCCATACCAACCCACCACTGTCTCCTGGGTCACCTCTCAAAGGTGGGAAGTAAGAAAATAATATGCAGTAATGCACATTTTGAAAGGCCTATTTAGCATGCCCTCTTCCTTTTACCATTTAAAGAATCACTTACCTCGTGCAACACGCCCTTCTCCCCCAGTATTCCTAGCATATGTTGTCCAGTATGAAACTTAAGATGTTTCACCTGGGATTAGGAAGTTTACTCACCAGAATCAAAGGGCAACGCCAACACAATGATGCAGATAAGTCTGAGCCATGAGGAGCAGAAGAACATTTTATCAGATCTGTTGGAGAAACCCTTCTGAATAACAAGAGGTACTGGTGAAAACAAAATCCATCTCAAACAAGGATTCCTGACAAAGCATTTGCTCTGCCTTCTTTCTGGAGGTCAGGTATCTTCTTATTTGTTCCCACCCAAAGTGAACGCAGACACAATTGAACACCGTGCTGTTGCACTTGCACCTGTTGTTGCAGGCAAGATGTCAATCCATCTGGTTTAGGGTTTCCTTCCCTTTCATGGACCTTTTACCTTACAGCTCCCTCGGGTTACAGGAAAGGAAGCGGAGCCCAGCACTCACCATCCTTGATCCTAAGGAGCATTCTGAATGAAATTTCAACAAAGAATTGTGGGTGGATCTACTGCCTGGATTCGAACTAACAAAGAAATCTCTTTTTATTTCTCTTTCCTCAATCCTAGGAATTAAACATGACAAAACACATAACCATATGGCCCATTGATGAAAGGGAAACCCTAGAGTGAAATAAGGAGCTGCCTATTCTCCCAAATCTTGGATCAGTCTTCTGATTTTAAATAAGTGGGCATTTATTCGTAGCAATTTTTCCCTCAGTAAATACAAGTAGTTATTTTTAAGAGTCCTACAGTGTGCTACTCACCAGAGCTACCTACCCAAATCCCTTATTTGATCTACTTCACACAGAGGGACAAGCAGAATCTGGTGGATAGCTCTGGGTCGGTCTTATATAGCTTTTCTGCTAAGTCACTTCACGAATCGAGGAATTATTTTATTCATTGCTCCGTGAGGAAACATGAGGTCCATTGGGGGTAAGATAGATGGCCCAGGGCAGATAAGACACAGAGATAATTTTTGTTCTTCCTGCAGATTTTGAAGTAGCTCGTGAATGTGCTTCAGAAAGTAGCTTTAAAAGAACGTTTATCAGTAGGAAATTGGATACCACTTCATCTGATTAACCTAAAACTAAAGGAGGAGAGTAAGCATAAGAATAATTACTGATTCTAAGATTGAGAAGATATGTGAAAATATGCCTAACTAGTGATTACAAATGGTCAAGAAAGCAAGAGGAGAAAAAAAACTATTTCTTCAATGTCAATTTATGGTTTTTGGTCCAGTGACTGTGTATTTCTTCCTCACAATTCAGTATTTTTTTCATAATATCCTTCAGCTTGAGCCCTCAATTACAAAAATTATTTATTGGGGGCTCTTACTATACTATGACAATCCCTAAATCAACTATATCAAGTGAACTTGTACATATGTTTTCTTCATCATTTTCAAAACAGTGTCTTTCTA